TGGCTGGGCTGCTGTTGGTTTTGGCTCTACCCGAGAAGCAAAGCAATGACCAGCACATTCGAACATTGCATTGAATATCCTTTAAATATCAAAGTGAGAAACAGGGAGGCAACATCATCAGGTCCTTAGAAAGATGTTAGATGGGACCAGCAGGTGGTGTAATGGCTATGTCGCTAGACTCCCATGCAGTCAAAACTAGTTGGAGTCCCGGACCCAGTGGCTTAAACTCACACCTGGCGCGTGTGCATGCATGCCTAAGATCCTGAGAGGAGAATGGAGGAGAAGGGATTGTGGTATGGCCATCCCTCTTGCGGGGGTGATTTCTCACTTTCTGTCTCTGTCTTCCTGGCTAGGGCACATGCCCTATAGTAAAAACCTCTCCAAAAATTAAATAAATAAATAAATAAATAAATAAATAAATGATGTTAGAAAGTAAGGACAGCTTGGGAACCAGCAGTTAGCGTAATGGCTATGTCCCTGGACTCCCACGTAGTCAACTGCGGTTCGCATCCCCGACCTGGTGGCTTAGAACTCACGCCAGGCGCGTGTGCCTGTGTGCCCAAGATCCCGAGAGGAGAATGGAGGAGAAGGGATTGCAGTGTGGCCATCCCCCCTGGAGGGTGATTTCTCACTTTCTGTCTCTCTTTCTCTCTCTGTCTGTCTGACGGGCGCACGTGCCCTATAGCGAAAACCTCTCCAAAAAAAAAGAAAGTAAGGACAACTGTGTAGATCTGGACACTGAAAAATGGCTTGTCAGCTTCATTTCTTTGGCTTCTTGGGTAGTGGCCTCCAGAACAGCAAGGTTCTGGTTCATGGATCATGTCATGGACCCATCCCTGACTCTGCTGAACACCAAGATTCCTCCATTCAGATTCAGACATCAAATGGGTTTTAGGAGCCAACTTGGCTATGTCCTTGGGTAACGTGACATGGCAGTACTCGAACTTCTCGTCATCGTATTTGTCCGAATAGTCCATTTGTCTGTGCGCCATGATGGCTCTGCTTCCAGACCTCTCACCCAGCTCCGCCAACCTCCAAACAACTCCCAGCAGCACGCCGACCATTGCCATAGTATTTATCAATGTTGATTCAATGTGGACTTACTCAGCGCTTGATCAATGTTAGCTCAACACATTGAATGGAAGAAAAGGAGAACTAGGAAGAGAAAGGAGAGATGGGGAAGAAAAGGGGCTGGCAGGTGGTATGGTGGTTATGGGCACTGGACTTCCACATGGCTGACTATGGTTCGAGTCCCAGAGCAGGCAGCTTGCTTTCTCACTTTCCATCTCTCTCTCTGTCCCTCTCTGGTCAAATTAAATTAATTAATTAATTAATTAATTTAATTTAATAATTCTAAAAAAAGAAGTGGAAGAAAAAGAAAACATTGCATTTCTCATTTATGCCAAGAACTATTCATCCTGCTGGGTGTTTTGCATAGGTGACACTTCTCTGAATATTCCCCAGTAGCCACTAAAGTAGACATTATTCCTTATTTTCCCCTAATCCACTGTGTTTTATTTGCTACGTAATAAGCCACCTTACATCTTTCAGCTAGAAAAACACTCCATTTGAATAAGGATATTACAAAATGAGTAAGAGTCCGATTACAATTTGCGTTGGGGGAGGGAACACCATAACTCTACTCAACTCAGAAAAACTTTTTTTGCTGGCTTTTTATTTTTTTTAAATAACTATGTACTTAATATTACTTCTTCTTATTTTAAAATTTGACCAGAGAGCCAGAGACAAAAAAGGGAAAGTGAGAAAGCAAGCTGCCTAGTCCAGGATTCAAACCAAGCCACCTGCTGGCCCCCCTTCTGCATTTAAATGTCAACTGTGCTGGGGCCAAGGTGGCATAGTGATTAAGGCAATGCACTCCCACCTGGCCACAGTTCAAGTCCTAGACCCAGCAGCTTGAAACTCAAGCCAGGTATATGTGTGAGCATGCCCAAACTCCCAAGGGGAGACTGGAGGAGAAGGGATTGTGACATGGCCATTCCACCTGGGGAGTGATTTCTCACTTTCTGTCTCTCTGGTGAGTGCACCCGCTCGATAGCAAGAATACATTTAAAAAAATAAAAAAAGTTATCTATGCTCACTACCGGTTGGTTGGACTTGGGCAATTGTTTTACTTCTACAGGTCTCAGTTTTCCCATCTGCAAAATGGGAGCCACACTATTGATTTCTCAGGGCTCTTGGAGCCTCAAGGAGAGAATAAGCAAGTCAAAGAGATGTTCTGTGCACGGTGGAAAGTGAAATGAATAAATGAGCCTAAAGAGGAGCATGAGGGACCAGCAGGTGGCGCTAGACTCTCACACGGCTGACCAGGGTGCAAGACCCAGATGTGGCGATTTATTTTCTCACTCTCCCTCTCTCTCTCTCTTTCTTTCTCTCTCTGGTAAAATTAAAATAATAAGAACAATCATAAATAAAATCAAATAATTCTTTTTACAAAGCAATGATGAGAATGATGGATGACAGTTACCAGATGAGCTGGACTTGGGGTAGGGTGGGGTGAGGGTCTTGCGATTGGGCTAACCCGAAGACTCTGGATCATTTGAATGCTCTGCCTTAACCACCTTAGCCAGGGGTGTTGGCTAAGCTGCTCCATCATTCATTCCATGGGCGTTTGGCTCCATTTCCACACCAAGGCTGTGCCAAGGGTGTGACTCTCTCTCGTCACGAGGTCTCTTGAGTGACAATAAAAGGACCAGACAACTGTGCCTCCCTACTCATAGGCAGGCCTCTTGGAAGAAACCTTGGAAGATCCTCCACGGTCAACCCCTTCTCCAAGATCAGCACGTGGATAGGGCCTCCTCGGTGCCCAGCCCTCCTTGCAGCAGGTAGGAGAGAGGTGAGACTGAGATTGGCCTGAAGCCACAACTGCTTCTGAAGTCGGTATGCGATTCGGCTGGTATTCGCCCTTTTGCCTCTGTCTTTCTTACACACACATCTTACTCCTTTTTTTTCAGGAATAGATGCTCTAGCTCCTTTGGGAAGAACCGGGAAAAAAAGTCCATCTATTTAGTTATTCATTCATTCCTCTTTTCTTATTCTGATTTGTGTTGTTGTTGCTGTTATTTGTTTACTCAAAAAATTCTCCCCAGCACCACCGCCATGTTCCTTCCTACACTGCTACCACGAATGGAGACAGAGATAAACAAGTCCTAGAGGGGCTGGCAGGTGGCGTGCTGGTTAGGGTGCTGGACTCCCACATGGCTGATTGCGGTTTGAGTCTCGGACCTGGCAGCTTGCTTTCTCACTCTCGCTCTCCCTTTCTCTGTGTTTCTCTCGCTGGTCTAATTGAAGAGGAATAATAACAAGTCAAATTAAATATGTAATTCTTTAAAATCAGGAAAAGGAAATCCTAGAAATGAAGCCAGAGAATAAGAATCGAAGGCATGGCTGTAACTCAAATGTTAACAGCCAGAGCTGTGGAAGTCTGGAGATTGGAGAGGCAGTTTTCAAGAGGTTACTAGGGATCATGAAACTCCCCTCCCCCCCTTTTTTAAAGAGATTTTTGTTACAGGGTGCATGTACTTGCTGGAGAGACAGTGACATTACGTGAGAAATCACTGTGGTTCAAGTTCTGGACCCAGTGGCTTGAAAATCACACGGGGCACACGTTGCATGTGTACCCAAGACCCCAGGAGGAAAATGGAGAAGAAGGTATTGTGGCATGGCCATCCTCCCTGGTGAGGTCATTTCTGACTTTCCCTCTCACTGTCTCTCTCTCTGTCTCCAGCAAGTGCATGTGTCCTAAGGCAAAAACCTCTTCTTTAAAAAAGCTCAGAAAAATACTTTCTGGATAGATGGATAAATGGATGGTTGGATACTTAAGTGGATGGATGGATGAATGGGTGGATAGATGAGTGGATGGGTAGGTGGGTAAATGGCTGAATCAGTGATTGAATGTATTCATTCAATAAATGGATTGGATGAATAGATGGTAGATGGGTAAACAGATGGGTGGAAAAGCAAATGAATGGTTGGATGGGGTTGATGGAAGGATGGATGAGTGAGTGGATGGATGGATGGGTGGATGGGTGGGAGAGTACCCGGTTGAGTGGGTGGTTGAATGGTTAAGTGGATGAATAGATGGCGGAAGGGTAAATGGATGGGTAGATAAGTGGATGGATGGTTGGATGGATTTTTGGAAAGATGGATGAGTAAGTGGATGGATGGTTGGATGGATTGATGGAAAGATGGATGAGTAAGTGGATGGATGGATGGATGGATGGTTGGATGGGTGGGAGAGTACCCGGTTGAGTGGGTGGTTGAATGGTTAAGTGGATGAATAGATGGCGGAAGGGTAAATGGATGGGTAGATAAGTAGATGGATGGTTGGATGGATTGATGGAAAGATGGATGAGCGAGTGGATGGATGGATGGACAGATGAGTGGATGGTTGGATGGATTGATGGGGGGATAAATGTGTGAATGCATGGACAGATGATGAGGGAAGGCATAGCAGGCATTATGCCACCCAAACTTCCAGGGGAAGGTCTTGACTGATAAAGAAGCAAAGAGAGAATTATGAGATAAAAGAAAGCTGGTTTGTCACTGCCATCTCTTGCCCAGATCAGACTACATACCAAGTCCCCACTACTGAGATCCTATTGAAAATCCTGATAGGATGACCAGCAGTTAGCGTAATGGCTATGTAGCTGGACTCCCATGCGGTTCACATCCCGGACCCAGTGGCTTGAAACTCACGCCGGGCGCGTGTGCGTGCGTGCCCAAGATCCCGAGAGGAGAATGGAGGAGAAGGGATTGCTGCGTGGCCATCCCCCCTGGGGGGTGATTTCTCGCTTTCTGTCTCTCTGTCTCTGTCTGTCTGGTGAGCACACGTGCCCTATAGCAAAAACTTCTCCAAAAAAAAGAAAATGCAGATATATACACTGATCTGTCCCCTCACCCTCTCCTCAGGGACCTTCAACCTATCTTCTCTTGATCCCCAGGACCAGACACGGAGACTGAGAGCTGGAACTGGAATTGAAGGAGAAATGAGCAATCCTAAGCCTTTAAAGGAGGTAGGCTGGGTGCAGGTTGAGGGAAGGCAGGAAACTATAAGGAGGAGAGTCAAGAAGAGCTTAATGTTTTGGAAAAAGTAGGAGAAAAAAAAAAAAAATCATGACCTGGATCCAAAGCTAAAATGTTAGATGAATAAAAAAAAAAATTTTAAAGACTCAAAAGTGGAACTGAACTTAGGGGAAGAAAATGAGGGGGGAACCCATCTATACCTGTTTCCACAGGTGGTACTCAGAACCCTGATACACTGATACATTTCTGGGAGAAGAAAAATAATTGATCTCAATATTCCACACACATATTCATTATCTATATTTGAAAACTGAGATTCACATAAGAGAAGTGACATGCCCAAGTTCACTCCAGGTTAAAATAGAATGGGGCCCAGCAGGTGACACAGTGGTTGTGGTCCTGGACTCCCACATGCCAACCACGGTTCAAGTCCCAGACCTGGCAGCTTGAAACTCATACCAGGTGCGTGTGCATGTGTGCCCAGAATCCCAAGAGGAGAATGGAGGAGAAGGGACTGTGGCATGGCCATCCTCCCAGGGGGTGACTTCTCACTTTCCCTCTCTCTGCCTCTCTCTGTGTCTCTGGTGAGTGCAAAAATATCTCTTTAAAAAAAGTAATAAATAGAATTAGATCTCAGGGGACCAGCAGTTAGCATAATGGCTATGTCGCTGGACTCCCACGTAGTCAATCGTGGTTCGCGTCCCGAAGCCGGTGGCTTAAAACTCACACCAGGCGCGTGTGTGTGCATGCCCAAGATCCCAAGAGGAGAATGGAGGAAAAGGGATTGCGGCATGACCATCCCCCCTGGGGGGTGATTTCTCATTTTCTGTCTCTATGTCTCTCTCTGTCTATCTGATGAGCGCACGTGCCCTATAGAAAAAAAAAGAAAAAAAAGAACTAGATCTCAGGTTGGGTTGCCAGATTTGCAAATAAAAATGAAGGTTTGCCAGTTAAATTTGATTTTCACAGGAACCAGCAGGTGGCATGGTGCTTAAGCCACTGGACTCCAACATGGCCGACCTTGATTAGAGTATCAAACCTGGCAGCTTGCTTTCTCTCTCTCTCTCTCTCTCTCTCTCTCTCTCTCTCCCACTCCCTTCCTCCCTCTCTCTCTGGTCAAATTAAAATAAATAGATAAATGGGTAAATAAAGTTAAATAAAATCATTCTTTTTTAAAAATTTGATTTTCACATCAATGTTATGCTCCAAACCATGCTGGAGTATCCTTTGCAATATTTGGGATATACTTATACTAAAAGCATCCTTGTTTTCTTTGTTTTTTTAAATTGGAATTTTGAGTATTCTTGGACATCCTGTAATTTTATCTGGCAACGTGACTTCGGGTCTCCTTTTTTGTTTGTCTTTGGAGAGGTTTTTGCTATAAGGCACGTGCGCTTGCCAGAAAGACAGAGAGAGACAGAGAGACTAAAAGCAAGAAATTTTGGCCATGCTGCAATCCCTTCTCCTCCATTCTCCTCTCAGGATCTAGGGCACGCACACACACGCCCCCAGCAGGAGTTTAAGCCACCAGGTCTGGGACTCGAACCATGGTTGACTACATGGGAGTCCAGCAACGTAACCATTACGCCATCTTCTGGCCCCTTGACTTTGGGTCTCTTTCAACTACATCTTCTGCTTCTCCTTTAACCTCCTCACTGTGTTTTGTTATCTCTGGGCCCAGGAGGCATATGATATGTCAGGTGCCCGCCTCGCCTTAACCCTGTGTGTTACCAAAGCCCGGGAAGGCTCAGAGGCAGACTTGGACGCCCTGGAGCACATGTTCCAACAGCTGAAATTTGAAAGCACCGTGAAGAAAGACCCCACTGCCCAGGTATTGAACTGCAGGATAGGGGTTGGAGGGGTGGGCTTTGGGATTGACTCTACTCTCATCTGATCATTTCTCTGGCTCCAGCAATTCCAGGAAGAGTTGGAAAAATTCCAGGAGACCATAGATTCCCGGAAAGACCCCGTCAGCTGTGCCTTTGTGGTCCTTATGGCTCATGGAGAGGAAGGTGTCCTGGAGGGAGAAGATGGGAAGTTCGTCAAGCTGGACAACCTCTTCGAGGCCCTCAACAACAAGAACTGCCAGGCCTTGAGAGCCAAGCCAAAAGTCTACATTGTGCAGGCCTGTCGAGGAGGTGGGGACCGAGCCAAGAACAGAGTCTGGGGACCAGCAGATGGCTGTTATGTCGCTGGGCTCCCACATACTCAACCACAGTTCAAGTCCCGGACCCGGTGGCTTAAACTCACGCCGGGCGCTTGTGCATGCATGCCCAAAATCCTGAGAGAGGAGAATGGAGGAGAAAGGATTGTGGCATGGCCATTCCCCCTGGGGATAATTTCTTGCTTCCTGTCTCCCTGTCTCTCTGGCAAGTGCATGTGCCCTATAAAAAGAAAAAGGAAAGAAAGGAAAAGAACTCTCTCTTTAAAAAAAAAAAAAAA